AGTCTACAGTCAAAACAAGTTCATTTGGTAACTTATTCTGTAGCCTTCCAATTGTAATTGTAATTATAATTTGTTTATCCACGGAGCACTTAGGAGTTCATAAGAACTAGTTGAAACGTATCCGTGCGTTACAGATGGAATTGGAATTTAGAAGGGTTAGTTTTTAAGGATGCAAACCTTTGCCGGGGGGTTCTTACAATTCCCTCCACCCCAAAACAGTTTAAAAAAAGAGTTTGCTTTTTTGAAAACTGCCGCGCGCGCGGCATGCGGAAACATTTACTGATCTTACCTTGATTCCCGTTTCCCTCCATGGTAAAATATTTGAATGATGCTCAAATGGCCCGATAAAAACAACCTGAAAAAAAATTGGCACATAATCATATGATTTCCATACGCTAACTCATAAAGAAGTACTTAAAAATAATTAATATGCTTTGTCCTCACATTTTTCTCGTCCCTTCTTTGCTCCAGCTCAAGAGCGTGAATTAACTTATGAATAGCACTTGTTGTGCCACTTCCTGTGAAAACAACGCAGTCCTCACCCGTGGCATTGACACAGCTTTTTATTATGTTGCTATAAAGAAAAACAAAAATAAAAAAATTTAATACATAATTTAAATAGCTTTCAAAATATCAAATTTGACGATTTCAGTAACTAAGATTTTTTTGCCTTGATTGCAACACAAAATAAATCTCCCGATACCCCGAGTACCAGAGGGTCTTTTTCCTAATTTCTATAGATCGCTTGGAGCCGGACGGTAATCTTTCGATGGATCAAGTTGCTTACAGCGTTTTGGCTGAAGTGCGTTCTCATGACCAGACAATCCAAGAGGATAAAGGAGCTTATTCGAGTCACTGCATGGTAATTGTAGACAAGTCCATCCCGGACAATCGACCTACTCTAGGTAATCATTGGGCTTCCACGTCATTACAAATAAACATTTTCTAACTGTAATGATCTTCTCTGCATTTTTAGTAGATTCTTAGGGTACTTTGAATCGATTGATCGTATTCCGGAATAAGAATACACCAAAGTTTTGTTTCAAATCTCTGTGCGGCTCTGCTTTTTGGGCCATGCTACAATAAGCGGCATATCTTGTGTCAAGCAGATTTTCTAGTTATTACAAAGGAATGAACGCCAAAATGAGTGATTTCAACTGATTTCAAGACATCATTACATTTTTTCTTATTTCGGGGTACGGTCAATGGAACCACAGGCGCCCCAAGATTGAAGTATGAGCATCGGCGAGCATCGGCGAGCATCGGCATTGTTGCGTAACATTCGAAATATAAGGATTTTGTATGAGAAAAAAAAAACAGCATACCTTACTTAAAATGTGTGTTACGTCTCTCCTGTGTAGTCCACGGGCCGATTTATGGCCGTTTTATGGGTTTTTATGTAAACGGTTTTCTCTCTGATATAACCGGAGGTAGAGAGAGAAAACCGTTTACATAAAAACCCATAAAACGGTCATAAATCGGCCCGTGGACGACACAGGAGAGACGTAACCCACATTTTAAGTAAGGTATGCTGTTTTTTATTGAAATTCTTTCACATTCGTAAGTTACAGAAACGATTGTTTTTTTTCCCACACAAATCCTTATATTTCGAATGTTATGCAACAATGCAGATGCTCGCCGATGCCCATATTTCGAACTTGAGCTACCTGTGATGGAACAGGCCAGCCATAAGAATACTCAACACTATGGCAAATTCTTTCTCAAGAGATTTGCTGTACGACCATGACCATGCAGGCTCTACCTGCTTCATGATCAAACAGCCTTGGTTGGAACATGCTGCAGCAATGCCCAGTGATAAAATTACGTAGCAATCCCTGTAACATGTCATGAGAACAATTTTGCTTTAAAATTTGTGCACAACGCATTGAAAAGAAAACGCGAACACAAAGAAGCGCTCTGAACCATTTACATGGAAAACCCAGTAATTTCGGGCCAGGGGAGAATTCAAATGAAACGGTTCATTCGGTAAAATGTTTTCGGAAAAAAAAAGGCAATACGTTCCGAGGTAACTACCTTTTTCTCGCCTCGACCAGTTCCCGGAATTTTCTACAGTACCATTTTTCCACAAAATTAAAAACCAGTGCCAATTTCCGAGAGGAAAGCATATCATGGAGGATTAGAGTCAATGAATCGTAACTATCGGATGTGACAGTTGTGTTTAATTCTCATTGCCCTCTGTTAGCAAATCAACAAAACGGATCAAATCAGTCAAATGATACGGCTCAATGAAAAAGTGCAATTCCATTTGTCCAAAAAGTCCATTTAAATGATAAGCGCTCAAAGAGAATTGTGCCTGCAACTGAGAACTTCCCGAACTTATAAAAAAATTCCAAACTTAAGCCGAAAGTTGGCTTGACTTACCGAGCCTCGTTTCTGAACCTTGTAGTCTGTCGCGATGTTGCACTTGTTGTAGTGTGTGTGTTGGAGTAAAACGGGAGCACATAGTCCCGGATGTAGTTTTCAATAAACCGGAGGGGCCTGTAGAGACAAACAGACAATCATTTTTATAATTATTAGACAACAAGTAGGTCCTCGGACGCCCACGCCCAAGTGAAGAGGGTGAGTGGTACAAGCAGATGCCCAAAGCTGGGGAGGTGATATGATGCCCATTAAGATCAACAGAATTTGTCATATCATGTGAAAGCCAAATTATTCATCCATAATCATTCAAAAAAGTTTTTCTAAGCTGATCACAGAATAATTTCTGCATAGAAATTCTTTGATAGTACCTCTGTAGTTTAGGATGCTTTACCTTGCAGATGTTTTTCAAATAGCATTTGTCATCCTTCAGATTATATTTACATATGTGCATTATTTTTAGATTTTTTTCTTCCAATCCCCAGCTAAAACCTTCCGTCATTTTTTCGAGCTCTGCACTGCCAAGACAGCTGAGCCGATGCGCCACTGTCTTTGTGTGACGTCAATCGTCCAATAATTTCTAGCTATGATTGACAATTCTCGAATCATACGAACAATTTTTTCAATTTTTGTCACCATTAGCAGGGTTTTTTTTTTTTAAACCAACAAGAAACAAAGAAATGTTTTGACTAAATGATAACAGCCCTGGCCAGAGCCGCTGTAAGAATTCCGGATATAAGTCTTCTGATAATCTAAAATAGTTCAAATACTGGCGTAGTTAACTCCCTAGTAAATAACACATTTTTAATCTATATGGAAATTGCACGTCACTTCTGATAGTGGCTCCTGACTAAATTAGCGATATTGATTTTTTGAGTAATTATTTGTTACTTACTTGCCAGATGCTGTGTAGTCACAATAAATAACTGGAAAATGAAAAAGGTTTTATAATTAGTTTTTATTTCTAAATTTACACAGAACCAAAAGCTGTCACAATATTAACATAAATTGTCAGTTTCTGAAACTCGTCTTTGTGAAACATTACTGAATATATAGGTCTGAATATTTGAAGAATAAAACAAGCACTAGAGCACTACATACGATCACAACTTAGTTTGCCTTTATAAGGAAAAGTTAGTAGTTAATATATAAACTTCCTTGTTGAAATTTTTGAAATGCTTAAACGTGCTGAAGTTACAGTTGCGGTCTAATATGTAAAAGATGACGCGTTTTTTGCATTCAAGTTTAGATCCATATACTGACGTAGCTTGCTTTAATTTGGTGAGGTTGATGCCGAGTTTACCACTAGTCAGTCAGTAAGTGTTGCTTTCTATCAAGTATTGTAAAAACTGAAATCCTAATAAACTGTGATCAAATGAACCACCTAAAATTTAAACCGATGAAGAATGCAATCCGCCTACGCTGAACGGAAAACACGTGCATGGGAGGATACAGTAGTTTTAGATCTTTTTCGAACGCGGAAACTGATTTTAATGTAACCAAATTTCATAAGTCGTGAAATTGTGAAAAAATTTTTCCGAAGGAAAGTGACCTTCATGCAGCTGCAGTTTGTCGGGTGTCAAATCCTTTTGGCGAAAGCGACAATGGGCAACGGAACTGACGCTGAACCAAAGAGGTCAGCACTGAGAGGTGGGGCAACAGGAAACTAATTCAGTTTTTTTTTGTCTCAGTGTTGTCGTTTTTATTCTCCAGAAAAAAAAGTATTTAGGTCGCTACATTAATACAATTTTTTTTATTACAAAAGATACAAATGATTCCCTTATTTTAAGAATGTGATGCTTACGTTTTTTTTTTCTTTCGCTGATGATCATGTGAAATTTGTGTTGATGCCGGTCTTTCGGAATTCATGCATGTCATGTTATATCTGGGACAGAATTCGCACTTGTAGATACAAACCTTCTTAGCCTGGAGATTTGCGAGGAGATTTGATTGTGTTTGATAAAAATTCTTTCAATCGAATGTTTAATCAAAGAGTTCATAGGCTTTACTGTCATAAAGTTTCAAAGACTCTGGCGATGGGTACTTGATCCATTCAAGCAGGTTTCATTCCATTGCACCATAGCAGTTAATTCATGTTTTGGTTCAAGCAGTTTTCCACAATCCGTCTTTCTTGTACGAGAAGTGCACATCGATGAAAGTCTGTTGGCAAGCTACTGTCAAATGCACGATTATTGCCTGAAATTTATTTTTAGCGTGCGTGTCACAACATGGATTCAATCACGACCAAAATGGCTTTATCGTGATGTAGTTCAGGTTTACTGAAAAGCTTGTAGAAACTAAATCCTGTAAATCCTTACAATTGCTGACCATAAAATGAATAACTATTACTTTCTAACTTTTTAACACACATCTCATTTACTTCGAAATGACAGTGACTGTATAGCCACGCGCCATAATTGTAGACAGAATCCTAACATTAATTTATAAGAATTTAAATACGATAAGGCGCTTCAGTTTTTATGCGAAAGAAGAAAAAGTCCTATTTATTGTGTGATATAAACTTCTTAAAACGAGGTTGGAACATTCATAACAAACAAAGTGGAAAACATTTGAACTCAATGAATGATGAACTGACTCAAGAATGATGACATCGAACGATTTCGATATTTTCATCACGCAATATCAAATAAAACTGGAAAAATAATACTGTCTCACCTACCTTTCTTTTCTCCATATGGGCCTATAATTCTTGTATCCCCTCCAACGACATTTTCCTCGATGAATTCCAAAATCGGAAGCATTGGCTTGACGAACTAATTTAAATTCTGAAATTATTAAACTTCGCCTGGTGGCTTTCTCTGCAAACAAAACATCACCAAAACTGGGTTTCATTCAAGCGAATAAATTTCAAAATACTTTTTAAAACCCCCGAGTATATTTGACTAAAATGGCACTGTTTTTGTTTGTCATGCTTACCTGTAAATCAATAATCTATTGGTGTATTCCGAGTTTCCGTTCTTTTAATCAATTACGTCCAATATGAATATATCCAGCACGTGTTATTGTGCACGATAAGGCCGGCCGGAGGTCAGTAGTTCATGTATGACCCCATGAAATGTCCTGAGACACCAGTGCCATGCCGGACCTCTAGGCACAGAAGTAAGTGTAGTGAAGTGTAGCAACTGTGGTAAGTGTAGCAGCTGTAGTAAGTGTAGTAAGTGTAGTATCTGTAGTAGCTGTAGTATCTGTAGTAAGTGTAGTAGGTGTAGTAAGTGTAGTAAGTGTAGTAGCTGTAGTAAGTGTAGTATCTGTAGTTAAAGTGTAGTAGTTGTAGTAGCTGTAGTAAGTGTAGTAAGTGTAGTAGCTGTAGTATCTGTAGTAAGTGTAGTAGCTGTAGTATCTGTAGTAAGTGTAGTAAGTGTAGTAAGTGTAGTAGGTGTAGTAAGTGTAGTAAGTGTAGTAAGTGTAGTAAGTGTAGTAGCTGTAGTAAGTGTAGTCAGTGTAGTAGCTGTAGTAGCTGTAGTAAGTGTAGTAGCTGTGGTAAGTGTAGTAGCTGTAGTAGCTGTAGTAAGTGTAGTAAGTGTAGTATCTGTAGTAGCTGTAGTAAGTGTAGTAGCTGTAGTAGGTGTAGTAGGTGTAGTAAGTGTAGTAAGTGTAGTAAGTGTTGTAGCTGTAGTAAGTGTAGTAAGTGTAGTAGGTGTAGTAAGTGTAGTAGGTGTAGTAAGTGTAGTAGGTGTAGTAAGTGTAGTAGCTGTAGTAAGTGTAGTAGCTGTAGTAAGTGTAGTAAGTGTAGTAGGTGTAGTAAGTGTAGTAAGTGTAGTAAGTGTAGTAGGTGTAGTAAGTGTAGTAAGTGTAGTAAGTGTAGTAAGTGTAGTAGGTGTAGTAAGTGTAGTAGGTGTAGTAAGTGTAGTAGGTGTAGTAAGTGTAGTAGGTGTAGTAAGTGTAGTAGGTGTAGTAAGTGTAGTAGCTGTAGTAAGTGTAGTATTTGTAGTACTACAGCTCTTACAGCTACTACACTTATGATGGAGACTTCCAAAAGTTGTGGAGGAAACCACAACGTTTGCTCCACCTTTTTATACATAGGTGATGGAGTCTCAGCCACAAAAAAGATTTTTATGGACGGAAAACTCTTTGGTCAACTGATCACTTCCGCGTGAATCATCTTGGCCAAAAAAAGCCAGGTATTAAATAGCTCGTTAACCTCGAACGCTCAGTCTTTACAGGAAAATCTCACACATCGGTCTTGGTCTATAGCTCAGTCAATACAGCAAGACCTCAGTTTGAGTTTTCCCCCTAAAGACTTCTCTCTCGGTTTAACATGTAGTAAGTATCTATTTTTTCTAGTATTTTTTATGTCAAACAAGTTACCGCTGATTGTTGATATGCTGTCGCAGCTGTAATAACAGCTGTTCGTATGAGCATCGCGGCCACAAGCGGAAACATAAAGGAGCAGCGAAAGGTAAAATCCTAGCCTTGGGAGAGAACGAGAGCCTAGCATTTTTCAGAACCATCCCCTAGCATTTTCCATAACCTTCTGATTCAGGGCTGAGTTGCTCAAAGCATGGTTAGCTTTAACCATTGGTTAAGCAGTATCAAAACCAATACGTTGTCAAGGTATTAAACGCTGGTTAACGCTAACCATGCTTCGAGCAACTGGGCCCAGTTGACCAAATCGAAAGAATCTGTTAAATACAAGCTCTTAGCTCTGGAAGTCCTCCTTAAATTGCTAAAAATGGACGGACCACTAGGAAAAGTGATGGGGGTGAAGGAACCGCCCCTTCCCCGAACTTTCCCCGAACCTTCCCCGCTCCCAAAAAGAAAAAACAACAAAAACAAACTGTCTTTAAAGTATGTAATCTGTGTTTTTAATAGTTTGTGGCTAAATTGGACTAAAATTTTACACGACTCTTATTTTTGCCCTTTTTTACACAAAACCTCTTAGTAATGCATTATTTAAACACAATTAATTTACAAAAAGAGGAATATTACATAATTAAGCAGACCCTACAAACTGATCCTTTGCTGAAACTGAATTATTTTAAAAAACTGCTAAATAAATCATTTGTTACAGGAGGGGGCATTAGCTGAAAGACATACTCGTTAAGGCCAAATTGTGCACAGGGCTAATAAACGCGCAGTGGAGTCCTGCAAGCATGTCACCTATATTTAAAAAAGTGATGATTCGGATCCTTTTATTTACTTGTCTGAGTCCTTTTTCGTTGATACGAATTGTTTCAATCAGTTCAACCCTTTGCCAAAAACTATCAAGACATCATGCACACAAGAAAATTTCAAGATGACTTTAGTCAGATGTCAACCCCTACTCCACTGTAAATAAAAGCACAGCTTGTAAAATTTACAGTGAAAGTCCGAGTAACTGCCATCGTGCTCGGGCTTGAGTCACGGCGTTTTCACAGAGCAGTCTGTTTTTAAAAACATTTCGGCTGTGCACACGTCTAAATTATAAAAGTCATAAAATGTGAAGAAAGCAAAGGAAATGTAATTAACACGAAAAATCTCAGTACCATTTTCCGGTCTGTACCTTTTGCTGACTAGTTCGTTAAACGTATTTGATGGTCTAGATTATATAAACTGGTCTTTGTAAATGCCGTGACACGAATAAGAGATGCTCGCTCTAGGATCTCACTCTCATTATTATTATACAATGTATAACCCTATATAACGAAACGCCGATGCTTGCAAAGAACGATTTTTAAGTTCCTTGGCACTCCCTTAGTTTCTGAGATACTGTAACCACCTGCAGTATCAAACTTGAAAATATACGATATACGCGTGAAATAAATAGAAAAGTTGCTAAAGTTTATTTATGGAACGAAATGCGAAAGACGGTGTTTTGAAATACAACATCTAATATATAACATTTTAAAGTTTTAACTATTATCACTCCACATTCAGTGCAGACAGCTGACTTAATTTTAGCTTGCTATCACATACTCGAAACCTACGTACGTAGAAATACTTCCTTCTTCCTTGTTTAGTGGGTGGGTATGTGCGTGTGTAAAAGCCTTGGCTATGGTCAATCGAAAGAACGCCAGCAGAATAAAGTGCAAGTTGCAGTTGTTGTAATACTGTTAAACAATTGGACGAGTTTTAGAAAAGATATTTTCCTCTTTTTTTCTTTTTGCAATTTCTCCTACGGAGAAGATGTTGAAAAAGACTTTGGACCTTGCCACTTTAAGCACCAGAAACTAATTGACATTCGTAAAATCCAGCTGCGTTCTGATTGGTTTAGCTACCACTACGCTATATGTTATAGCCCACTAAAGGCGAAAAGCGCCGGCTTTGAAAACCAAAACAGTGGCTGTTTATTCGCGTTTCGCTAGCTAAAATTGTCTTGTCTCAATATTTTTGACCTAGTAGTTGGATTGGACTTAAACAATTATTCCTCTCACCCTCATGGCCTGTGAATCAATAGCCCATTCGGCCTTCTGCCTAAGGGGCTGTTAACTCAGAACCCATTCGGGCTCGGCGAGGAATAATTGTTAAATATATAGCTGATTCAATAAAGGTTGCTTTGTGCAGACTCCATCACTGAGACTCCATCACCTATGTATAAAAAGGTGGAGCAAACGTTGTGGTTTCCTCCACAACTTTTGGAAGTCTCCATCATAAGTGTAGTAGCTGTAAGAGCTGTAGTACTACAAATACTACACTTACTACAGCTACTACACTTACTACAGATACTACAGCTACTACACTTACTACAGCTACTACAGCTACTACACTTACTACAGCTACTACACTTACTACAGCTACTACACTTACTACACCTACTACACTTACTACACTTACTACAGCTACTACACTTACTACACTTACTACACTTACTACACCTACTACACTTACTACACTTACTACACCTACTACACTTACTACACTTACTACACCTACTACACTTACTACACCTACTACACTTACTACACTTACTACACCTACTACACTTACTACACCTACTACACTTACTACACTTACTACACCTACTACACTTACTACACCTACTACACTTACTACACTTACTACACCTACTACACTTACTACACCTACTACACTTACTACACTTACTACACCTACTACACTTACTACACCTACTACACTTACTACACTTACTACACCTACTACACTTACTACACCTACTACACTTACTACACTTACTACACCTACTACACTTACTACACCTACTACACTTACTACACTTACTACACCTACTACACTTACTACACCTACTACACTTACTACACTTACTACACCTACTACACTTACTACACCTACTACACTTACTACACTTACTACACCTACTACACTTACTACACCTACTACACTTACTACACTTACTACACCTACTACACTTACTACACCTACTACACTTACTACACTTACTACACCTACTACACTTACTACACCTACTACACTTACTACACTTACTACACCTACTACACTTACTACACCTACTACACTTACTACACTTACTACACCTACTACACTTACTACACCTACTACACTTACTACACTTACTACAGCTACTACACTTACTACACCTACTACACTTACTACACTTACTACAGCTACTACACTTACTACACCTACTACACTTACTACACTTACTACAGCTACTACACTTACTACACCTACTACACTTACTACACTTACTACAGCTACTACACTTACTACACCTACTACACTTACTACACTTACTACAGCTACTACACTTACTACACCTACTACACTTACTACACTTACTACAGCTACTACACTTACTACACCTACTACACTTACTACACTTACTACAGCTACTACACTTACTACACCTACTACACTTACTACACTTACTACAGCTACTACACTTACTACACCTACTACACTTACTACACTTACTACAGCTACTACACTTACTACACCTACTACACTTACTACACTTACTACAGCTACTACACTTACTACACCTACTACACTTACTACACTTACTACAGCTACTACACTTACTACACCTACTACACTTACTACACTTACTACAGCTACTACACTTACTACACCTACTACACTTACTACACTTACTACAGCCACTACAGCCACTACACCTACTACACTTACTACACTTACTACACTTACTACACCTACTACACTTACTACAGATACTACAGCTACTACAGATACTACACTTACTACACTTACTACAGCTGCTACACTTACCACAGTTACTACACTTCACTACACTTACTTCTGTGCCTAGAGGTCCGACATGGCACTGGTGTCTCAGGACATTTCATGGGGTCATACATGAACTACTGACCCGGCCGGACCTGCTTAGCGTGACATACCGCCTGCGTTTCTGACGTTGTATGCATAATCCTTTATGCGCCCAGATGGTTTTGCATCGCTTAATTCATCAGATAATAATATAATTTTAAGTGAAAATACTTTTACATGTAAAATGTCGCCAGGACGTAGCCACTGGTGTTTGCTTTAAATATATGGCTTACTTCTACAGTTATGCTATTTGCGATCATTTGGCAAAAGCTGGTCGTTTGACAAATTATCCCTGGCCCTCTTACGTAGATGATCGTGGGCGGTGTTGTGGTGTTGCACAAACCTATCACTTTAAATGCACAAACAAATTCATAGAATACCACCGGCGCCGCAAAATAATTTGATATTCATTCCCCTCCACTCTACCTATGATAACAAAAAAAGTAAGGAAAAAAAATACTCGTTTTACCGATATACTTGTTTTTTTCCTTTGCGTTACCGATCAGTCTGCCTGTGATGCGTAACCGGAAATGCGTAAGCCAATGCTCCTCAAAGGTCAGGGTTGAGATGGGACAGCCGGGTATTATGCCTCAAAGGTAGTATTTTAGTATTTTTTTGTACCCCGTTCTAGAATTCGCCCTAAAACTGATACCCCGTTCTAGAAATGGGCCAATTTGTTTATACTCCGTTCTAGGGTGCAACAAGAGTACAACAATTTGCTTGTTAACGCATTAAAAGCAATCTGTCCTTGAATAATTTCAAATGGCTGCTTACAAAACTGGAGCTTTCATGCGTTTGAAGTATTATACCCCGTTTTAGAAAACGCCTCTGAAATGGAATACCCCGTTCTAAATCAGGAGCTTCAAAATCACGACCCCGTTGGGCGGCACATACCCGTATAGGTAATGTATGGGAGTACCCCCCTCCCCCCGGGGTTTACCCTGGGTTTACATGTTTCTCGTCTCTAATCGTAGTTATTCGTGATCTACAAATTGAAATTCTATCTTGGTTTACGAAGAGTAGTGGTAGTGATCAAATGCGCTTTGAAAGGTATGGAAAGGTGCCACAGTCAGCTCAGGACTGAATGTCTTATTTGCCGGAATCTTCTCTAGTGTTTCTAGAAAGGGAGTGTCACGAACCTCTTACGGCGTGACATTGTTGTGCTACGAGGTGACGTAAACACTTACAAGCCCAACTAAACTCGTACTCCTCATTATCACGCACATTAGGCCCAAATGAAGCTCTGGGGCTCAGTGGTACTTAATGAGCAATTAAAGAATACATACTACACTTGCAATCAAGCTTGCATTTTTTTTCTTGGAGGATGGGTTAAAAGTGATATTTTCCGGCGGCTTTGTTGAGTTAATATTAACTGCAAATATGTCAAAAGAGGCAATTTGATTGGTTCCAGAGTGTAACAATTATCTATTTTCTCATGAATGTGAAAGGTATCTTTTTCAGTTCGTAAGTCGATCGATAAACCAGAGAATCGTATGCAAGAGCTAAACATCTGCTTTGATTTTCAGGAAAACTATTGCGCCAATGCGCAAATTAGGTCCAAAAATGAAGTCGATGAATCTCAACACCCCGGAAAGATGAGTCCAGCTTAGCGAAGACAGCTAAACAAAACCTATAAACAGTCATCGAAGTTAGCTTGTTGCAAGTTGTAACTTTTCGCAGTGTCTAGTCAATTTTTACCAGCGCCAAGGATATGACTTCGCTTGTTCCGGCCTCGTTTAACATCCGTTCCGACGAGTTCGCGATATATCCTTATGGATTTCCTGCAACGCTTCCCCAGCCAAGCATAGTACTTCGAGTGGAACACCAACAGTCACTTGTTCCCCAGAATGGGCGACAAGCGCCGCATCTCCCACCGGCTGGGTCACAATCACTCCACGAAACTCTTAAACCGGGTACCCGTAACGAACGATATGGGGGCCCACCTTTTCTTTCCACGGTAAAACTTTTGAGGGAGCGACTTTTCTATCTCGGAGGAAAAGAAGATGATGAGAGGAAAGAGCTAAAATCTAATAAGTTGTGGGAAAGTGAGATCAGATTCTGTCATGGAAGCGTAAGTATCATGAACCGACAAATGATCTCTACAGTGATCTGTTCTGAAATGTTTTTGTGTGTTTTATTGCTGAAATAGCGAATAATTCGAATCCCAAATATAAATCGACGACTAGTATAGATATGGATTCATTTTTCTTTTATTTTTGTTAGTAGGACGCAGTTCAGAACAGATCACCGTAATCAAAATTTTTGTTTGTACTGTAGACGCAAAGTATAGCAATTGTAGGGATGTCCCGAAAATAAATCAAGCAAAGTGAAATAACACGCACGCGATCTGGGGAAGGGGACGGTGGAGATCGACGCTTACCTTATACTGGCTGCAGTCACATCTACGACGTAACTAAAGTTTAGTGTCAAGTTACGTGATGTCATAATGTCGACCGAAAGCATTAACTACAGTTAGGTGCGGTCACATCACGCAGTTAACAACAGTTAGTTCTAACTAGCCTAATGTAAATTTTTTGTTTGTTGTTTTTGGATTCCCCGTCGCTTCACGCATGGTTTTTATTTTGCATATTTATATATGCTCATCTCGCAACGTGCGAAAAGAAGTGTCACATTCTGATTGGTTGTTTGTTTGTAAAAATAAGACTAACCCACGAACCCTGCTTGGGTATAACTATAGTTAGTCTGTATTGTTTTGGATCCAATGTCCGAGGCGTAAATTTTCTAACTATAGTTAGAGCGGACAGAAGTGGTCACAGAAATAGCTAACTATAGTTATCCCTGTCTTATCTATAGTTAGTAACCCAGATGTGACCGCAGCCACTGTCTGGTCGTGTTGGAGAGGGGGGGGGGGGGGGGGGGGGGGAAAACAATACAAGCAACTCAAACTGTTTAAAACAATAAGGTGGCATGCAAACATATAAGCCTAAAAATCAACTGCGGAATCGGCCCCTATTCTTGGAACGCTGTTTCCCACTGTTTTACACAGACATCAACCCTATCAATTTTTTTGTTGCCGAAGTGCCGAGGTTGAAATTTTCTATAAAGTATGTAAGGAGAAAAAAAGTGACAAAAAAAAAGATAACTTATATTTACCTTTTTTTTATTATGTATAAGTACAAAGGGTGTCCCCCACCCAGCGGGTTGTGGTGGTGAGGGGGGGGGGGGGGGGGGGGGGTGAGGGACAACAATGCAAGCACATCAAACTGTTTAAAACACTAAGGTGGCATGCAAACATATAAGCCTAATAATCTACTGCAGGATCAGTCTCTATGATTGGAACGCTGTGTCACGCTGTATTACACAGGCATCATCACTATGAACAGCCTTGTCTGTCATGATATGATTTCAGTATGAACACCTCATGCCTACCTCGACGTACTGTAGTTTTTTTCCTTCTTGTTTTTGTTTATTGCCCCGCCCCCCCTTCCTCCTCCTGTCACTGATATGAACCCCTCCCTAATTCTAATCCAAGAGGTCAAGGGGGTGGGGGAGGGGGTTACAGATATCACCCAAGAAGGCAACTTGTGTCCTGTTAATTTTCAATTTTGCAGAAACTGCAACACTACAAGGTGGTGGCAAAATATTCAAGACGATGTTTTGCTTTAGTTGAGAAGATCGACGAGCAAATTAAGCAAGGCAAGACGAAAATAACAAGATCGAAAGAATTATCACAGGCTCTCTTCTTAACCTTATATGGACGTTCCGAGGCGGAAAAATATAGCATTCTGGAAAAACTTGCAAATCAAGAAATAAAGGTTTCCGAAATCAAGAAAGTAAGTAGACAAAATTTTTTATTTTGTTTCTATTTTCTTTATTTATATTTTGAAAAAGGGTAGGGGCGCCAAAACGTGAGGTCCATCTGCTTATCACCATTTCCCTCGCCTTCTGATCCTAAAAAAAACGCCACATTATAATATTGTCAGATATTATTTTGTTTCCGCTATGCTTTCATCAGGGTCAGCCAGCGTTTTGGGGGTATATGCAGGGTCCGAAATTAACTTTTTAATATGGGCGCCAACTGGTGAGCAAGTATAAATTTTTGGTCACCAGAGGGCAAATTATTTTCGCCAAAAATTCCCCTTGGCGGCTTGGAAACGTTCAACTCGTATTGATCGTAGCTGTTGTGGAGGTATATTTACAGGAAGAATCGTTTTACTTTTAAATTAAAAAAATATCAGCAGGACAAAAAGTAAGACACCTGTTGGCAAAGAGCTTCGAGGTTTCAATTCTTAATCATTTTCTCCGAACATGAAGGTCTACAATAACAACCAGCTTTACAAGTCGCCAGCTGGCGACCAGCTATGAAATTCTGGTCGCCAGGACTGAATTTTTGGTCGCATTGGCGACCAGGAAGGCGCAATTTCGGACCCTGTAATATGGTATACCTGGTTTTGTTTGGCTGTTTTAAATTATTTTAAATACTGTATCATACACCTTTTCTAGATTGGGTACATTGGCTAATGTTATACTATTAGCCCTGGGTCAACCCCGCTGTTTTGTGGTGCGTGATCTCTTCATATGACGATTTCTAGTCATTTCTGGCAAATTTTTCTATTTTCAGTTTTTTCCCTCTAAAGATTCCGAGCAAACCAGTTCTGAAGAGCAAAGAAGTATAGCAGCAGTAATTCAGGTTCGTTTACATTTCCTTTCACTCCAAAATAGCCGCTAAAACACAAAAAGTTCAAAATATCTTTTGGTAAAATTATAATGATCGTAAGAGATAAATCGTGCTAAAGTTATGTTAATGAGGTTTAATCCTGATGACAACACCATAGGATTTTGTCCACAGCTTTTTTGAATTTAGAGTGACAAATAATCACAGCCTAGCCTGGTCTAAAAGCGAGGATGAGTCGGGCAAAATATAATAAAGCTACTAAACGATCGACTTATTTCAGAAGTATGGCTTCCTGCTGTTGCTTTCTTTTAGCTTGAGAGAGACAACAAGAAATTACATGAGCAGATCGAACGGCTAAGGGACAATATAAAAGAGGTGTGTATAACAGTACTGTGGCTTGATCTTGTTCGCGCGGGCTAATTTCCCAAGCAGCGGCTGTTAACCGAGCCTGGTGTAGAAATAGGCCTTTTGCAGCTAGCCATTCACGTGGTACAAACCGCCATGCTGGAAAGCAAAAGTCACCGCACTGGAACAAGACAAACAAAAGGCACACATAATCTTGAAATGGTAATTTCTTTTGTTTGTCTTGTCCCAGTATTACTTTTGCTCGCCAGCATGGTGGTTTTGTACCACGTGAATGGCTAGCTGTAAAGGGCTCATTATTGATAAAGCTTAATTAAATAATAGGGCATGGACAAAATGTTCTGATAAGTTATCTATTGTTGTTACTTGGTCCAACACAGCAGTTAGTTTGAAGAGTTGCCGTTGTTATTTTTTGTTTTTCATTGCAACTATTGTTTTATTTAAGTTGAAGTTGACAAGCATCGTCTTCAATCCGCACCTCGCAAAACTCTCATCCAAATACTTAGAGAGTAAACCTCTAAAATATAAATGGAAAAAAGGAAGGAACTGAAATATCGCTGAAAACATCACATGCTTCATATCGTTTTAGTAAACTGACGTCAATCGCTCTTGTGAGATTAATAAGCTCAACTGGTAGAGCGACAGCGGAAGGTACAGGTGCAATTCCTGGCTCTGGGCCAAGCGGGACGAGGAAGAGAAACGCGAAATAGGAGACGGGCCTGGGAAGTCCCCCTCCCCCGCTTCCATTTTTTCCCTCCTTTTCACCTCGTGCCTTTGCGCGTCTCCTGTGCTTCTCCCGCTTGGGCCAAAACAGTATTCAAAGTCTTTAAAGATCCAGAGATGAAAATACTGCCTGTACCTTGCCTGGTCGGACCTTCGCGTGGCTCGGACGGCCACGCAGACTTGGCGATCTCATCATGGGCGACTGGGATGGTTAAAACAGTTCCCTCAATCAGCAGTTTTGTTCTAAATACCTTGACATTTAATTAAAAATGTTTTCTCTGCGTTTTGTAGATAAGTGATCAATTGATGGTTGCAGAACGCGAGAACGAGAGGCTGACCGAGGAAATAAGGAAATATTTGAAAAGAAAGCTAAGAAAGGTAGCTATTATACTACAGGCTATATTTTAAGGACATTAGTTTCGCGCGAAGATCGTATAGCATTACTGATCCCCATGGTAAAAATTGTAAACCAACGATTGGTTTTAAACCAGGCTTCCATGAACTCTACCCAAGCTTTATTTACTTTACCTTTCTCTTTTGTTACGTTTGCCAAGTGTTGTTGTGGTGGTCTTGTGTGTACTTAGGATACATAAAATTCACTTTGAGGAGATGTGGAACTTTGTTTTTAATTTTATTAGTTAGTTCCGCTTGCATTTTTAATTCCAGTTTTATTTTTTGATAGCGTGGTAATGTGACAAGCAAAAGAAAGCGAACCACAAAACAGTCTTCTCCAGTGAAAAAGGTAAGTTTCTCGAATAGGTTTTTAGAGACGCTGGCACTTAATGGCAACGTTAATTACTTTACCATAGTTGAGTGATATATATGTAGAGCGTTTTCACATGACGTCACAATGCGCCAAATTGGCGTCCCAATACAATGAAACGGCCGGCATGCGGGTGTCCTAACTCAGCCTTTCGAAGGTGAACCACTTTTTTTTTGTAAAAACTTTCTTTTTTCCCCGATAATATTGCATAGCTGCTCGCCACGTGCGCGAAAAGGCTCTCTAGCCTTTTGCTGACCAAACGCGGAGATTGACTAAGATGGTTTAAAGGCTTTATTTTCAGAATGTTCGCCTCATCTCGGCGATAATAGGGAATTATTGATCGAGGTATAGACGGCTCTGAGTTTTTGAGGTTTATCTTCAAAACAGTAGTTATCTATTGCATCAACGCAAGTTTGTTTTCTCTTTAGAAAACAGTACGCAGAACAAAGATGGCCTTCGATGATGATGACGACCAGGACGACGTTGAAGATGTTAGTGATGATGATGATGATGATGAGGAGGAGGAGGAGGAGGATTATAATGTTGATGATGATGATTACAGTGGTGATGATGATGATGGTGATAATGACGATAACGAACTGAATGAAAGTAAAAGTGAAGTTCGAGACGATGGAGAGGGAAATCAAAAGACCCTTTGGATTATCCCATGTAAGTTTCTTTTTTTCTCATCATGTAACACATTTTTCTAAGGTTCAAATTCCTTCTCCTATGGCTGTTGGGGATGGGGTGAAGCGAGCATTAGCGAGCTAAGCATGAAGATATGATACAGATAAATTTATTACGGGAGAAAATTCTTTCCAAGCAATTAAAAGTCCATTCCAGCTTGCTCTTAATTACTTGAGGAATGAAAGAGACATGAAGATTAGCCTAAGTGGACTCTAAGTTTGAAAATCTCTATAAATTTTTAGGTTTACCTTAAAGACAAGTATTTTCTACCAAGAATAAAACGGACTACTGCAAAGTCGGAGATGACGACGAACAAACTGGATATCTGATTTGTGAGATGAATCAAACCGCGACCAAGGCTCTTCGTCAGTTGTCGATGCCGCCATAATTAAGTGAGTTTGGTGATCGTTGATGAAGTGACAGGCCAAAAATTGTGTTAAAAGAACATAACATGGGCGGATTTAGTGGCCGGTGGGCCGAGAGGGCCGCGGCCACTCCTTTTCCTCTGAAAGTTGTATTATTTTTATAGAATTCAGTCTCAGAAAAATAAAAAGTATTTAGGATAGAGCTGTTAGGTGTCCCGCCCACCCCTTTCTGACTTTTCTGGATCCTCCCCTACATAATAATTTTTAAAGAACTAGTTCCTCTTGATGTATATTCCGTTCTACCTTTATTCTAATAGTGATGCTGTCGAAAGAGATCAACCTCAAAATATTAAAGTGAAGAATATTCGTTAATATCAAGGCATGGTACTGGACGAATTTTCGACTAGTTGAAAATTCGAACGTTTAGTTGTTCCATTCACACACACCTTAACCGTACGAAACTTTAGACGCCTAGCCGTTCAAATTTCAGTGTGAACAGAGTGTCCGGTCAAATTTTTTTCAGCCGGTCGAAAATTCGTCCGGTGCCATGTGGACGTAGCCTCGTCTAGTCCCTAGGCCTTATTAATCCGCGTGCTCGAAGCGTTTCGGGTCACGTGGTCCAAGCGAAAATGTTTACCGCCCGTTCGCCTCGGATACGTCACCGAAGTCAATTGATCGAGAGGAACTGGAAAAACGTCGTACAGGGACTAGGCAAGACGTAGCCTAAGTTATACATTGCACTGAATGACGATGGCGCAAATTTGAAACCGCCAATAAAGTGCACAAAGACCAGTATCTGAACGTTTTCATTGGGAAGTCCACATGTATTTGTATGTGGTGTCAGCTCGAAAGATATAAGCCCATCAGCTACTCTAAAATTCGAGTCAAACTAAAATTTATGTTACGTTATGTTGAGAGGGTTGTGTATGTTTTCGTCCTAGTGCTTTATGTACTGCTTAAAAAACGAGCAGGAGTGTATTACCTGGTTTAAAAACTCGAGGCGAAGCTGAGAGTTTTTAAACCTGATAATACACGACTGCGAGTTTTTTGAACGGCTTCAAAATCTCTGATATAGATCAACTCATTCTCATCTGATATTTAGATTTGGGGTAATTTTGGTCTAAAAAATTGGACGTAAAGTTTAGCCATGCCATGTCTTTATCAGATTCACTCATTAAATATAAATTTCTTTTGTTTTTGCTTTATGAATTAGCAATGGTTCTTAAACATTGGTTAAAATAACACGTGACTTGCTCGTATGCAGTTTCCCGCGCTTGGCAAGAGTTACGACACTTGCATTTGTTCCGAGCTTAGATTGGTTATTGATTGAAAGGTTATTGCTGATTGTTTCAATGCCGACTAGCATGTTGTTGCAGACCGGGGTAATTGCCACTTAAAAATAAAGAACTCCGATCTTGACAAATTTGGCCCGTTTTTCATAGTTGTTCCCCTAGCAATGTGTTTCAGTTGTAAAATGTCAAGTTCTTTAAAAAAGGCTGTCTTTTCTTCAAGGTTGTCTATTGTACAAAGCATACAAGTCTTATATTTCCATTGATCTTTATTGGGTTAAATGCTTAGCATGAATTAAGCTTCTTATCAATTGTCTCGGTAATAATGCCACGCTAAAAAACTGCCAAATTCTCTTGATTTTGACACCTCTGCGTGTTGTCACTAAACGAACGTCATTTTCCTGTCTTACTGCTTTTAACCTGTGCAGTTGTTCTTAAAACGATTCGTCTCGAAATATTTCTCTCTTGCATCTTGAACTAGAAGTTGGAATGTCCATTATATTAATGTTGTAATATTTATTTGGTGTGTATTAGCGATATCAGAGAGGTTAAGCATTACCTTTGCAGCAAACAGCAAATGGCAGAGATAAACGTACGATTTTCAATATAACCGACAACGATACAAAATACAGTTATCACTTTCGTTTGACAACACTGTTTCTATAATATGTTAGGTTGGAAACGGAATATAAGCCGCAAGCGTAAAAAGGCGGGAAAAGATGATCACGTGAACGTCTCGTGCCGTTTGCAGTTTGTCTTCAATGTGATCCTTAATCTCAATAGTGAGTCAATAAAAATCCAGTATTGCGATGTTACTGAGCTGCAAATATCGCAACCAGTTGAAGCAACATAGCAACGACAAAGTTGACCTGCAACCACGACGAAGCGCTTCCTGATTTGACTTTCTTTTCGCCTGGTGTCACACTTGGATCCAAGAGAACATTTTTGTTGAATTTGGGTATGCGGAAAACAAATCTTGACGCGTCACCATCGCGCTCCACTTTGGGATATCCTTGCGGCATGGGAGAGTATACGCCATCATCGGTCTCCACCTAGAAAATGATTAGTGACAAGTTAAACAAAGATACTCGAAATAGGCCATTCCCCAGTTGCCCGTCCCAAGCCTCTGTTTCAAAGTGAGGCTAAGTGCGAAGCCATTGACATGAAAAAAAAGTTTTATTCTCATACAAATGAAACTTATTATCACGATAAAGGTTTTTGCACTTGGAACTTGGAATTGGCCGCCCTGTTTAGTTGATACACTTCTAACCCGCGGCTTCCTTTCTTTTCAGACGAGGCGAAAAGGGCCATATAATTTTAAACAGAGACAACAAATGGCAGAGAAAGCTTCAAAATAAGTTCGTGTCTACCTCGCGCACGCCCGTTCTCTCTTTCGCCCACTACTATCAAGCGCCTGCTACGCAGGCTAAAAAAAGGTTGACGTTCGAGGAGAAATTCTTTAAAATATACTTTACTTTAGCCCTGCTATCAGAGAGATTATCCGGTAGAAAGGAGTCCCAAACACACCATGCTACGTAGCTATCATATGACCTTTACCTCTTCATTAACCCATAGTCTATTTGATTAACTAGACCTTTAAAACAATTGGATATGATTCAAAAGGGAGGCCAGTGTGGGCGTCATCATAGATTGATGCAATTGAAAGATTCTCTAAACAGGAATGGCAGTGCCGTTCCTGATCGTAGATCCTTTTTACAGTTATGCTCTTTCATATTTCGCGATGGACCGTAAGCAAAAAGCACCTCACGTATGCATGATGCTTACAAGACTTACAAAGATATAGGATCCTTCAAACTTACCCCTTTGTTAAGCAGCATTTCTGAGTCCCCTCCCATGTCATATAGATGAGGGCAATCGTCATCATCATCATCATCATCATCATCTTTATCATCTTTATCTTTTCCATCATCCTTATCGTCCTTACAAACAGCCTTTTTGCGGTCGTCGTCGTCGTCTACTTCAGATGGAGTTCCCTTGCTCTTGACTCTCATACTGAGATCCAGGAATTGGCCTACACTGTTGCAGCCCGGAGTATTATTCTCACAGAAATCCCAGTCGCTTATCTATAAAATAAAAAATACGAAGATAAAGGATTAAAGAGGGCCTTGATTTTCGGTTACCTGACAAATAAGGGCCAATCGAGTACCTAGAAAAGTGTGGATATTCATTGTATCATGGGACAACTTTTGTTTGTTTCTTTCTCCCATGGCTATAGTGGTTGCAATGGCTTTCATGATCATATGAAAAACTTTTATTTTATTAAATTTTTATTATATTTCAACTGTCGTAGCCAATTTTCCTGGCATGGTGTCTAATTTATTGATAACTAGTCCCTTTACCAACAGGGAGACTTGAGATTAATGTGCACTGGTTTCATAGTGGCAGATTCAGATATTTAAGTAAGTTGTGGTGGTGGTGGTGGTGGTGGTGGTGGTGGAGTGGGGACAAGACAAGAGGAGAGACCTGCCTGGAAAATAATTTTCTTGACCCTTGGGGCCTATAAAATAATAAGGAGCGTGGCTGGGCCCCCACCAGGTTCCTACCCTAGATTGGCCACTGTTTGATAGGGGAGCTCTCGCGCGCAGCAGCAGAGCACCGTGGGTAAAAAAAAATTGGTTATCTATGCATCTGAGAAATTTTGGTAGTCACATGACCGTACGTCCACCCGCCCGCGTGTCCTTCCGAACCACAGGCATACCAATGTAAAATAACGCAATCGACAGGTATGGCAACCCAAATGGAACTCGAGGTTTTTGGCGGGAAATCGCGTGGCCACCGACACTTTTATAGAGAAAAAACAACAACAAGATCGAGTCTTTTTTCGACTAAGTTTGAATGTCTACACTAACGTGGATAACACACAAAGAGCTAGAGTGAGAGATAAAAAGACAAAAGAGACGAATTTTGATGGAAAACCAACATGAAAATTTTATATCAGCGGTGAGAAAATGAGAAATGCTAGCGGTGAGCAAGAAACCAGCTAGGTAAAAACTAGCGGCAGTGAAAAAAAAGCGAACAGAAACACAAGCAACAAAATCTTTGGTACGACACTTTTTCACATAAAATGTGTAACTACAATGTTTCACGTTGTGGTAAACTACGGATTTTTTTTTTTTTTTTGTAGTTCTCGTTGCCTTCGCCGTTTAGCATTGCTCGATATTTAGTTTTTGTTTGAGTAAATTATAAGCATATTAATGAGAGCTTCGCTTTTAGCCCTGGATAAATCTATACATATTCTTTGCTTTACCTGTTATTTTATAGAAAATGAAAAAGCATAGTACGCGAGCATTTTTTGGCCACGTACCTTTATGTTGAATTTCACCGTCCCTGGCTGAACCTGAAACGTTTCGTTGCCAAACGAGATGGATCCTGCCTGACGGAACAAGTAGACCATGATCTGAATGTTAGCATCGGCATCTTCAAGTCGGCCTGTCAGGTTCACATTGATGGCCGGGATTCCGAAGGATCTGTCGTTTGTCTGTACAGGAGAAAATTGAAACTGTACATCCTGGAAAGAATCCACTGAATGCTTGTCGTCGGCCACATCATTATCATTGCCATCTTTCTCTTTAATGTCATCAAGCTCAAAAGTCAGCAAATCATCGTTGGTGTCTTCAAAGTCATCATCATCTTTATCATCGTCCGTGTCTTTGTCATCTTTGTCGCTGTCGCTGTCTTTTTTTTCTACACTATCTTTAGCGTCTACGTCAACATCGTCGGTCTTATCTGGGGTATCACTATCTTTCGAATCCTTGTCGTCTTTATCATCATCCTTGTCGTCCTTCTCGGCCCGAGCAATCTTGATTTTTCCAGAAGGACCATCAATTTTGACCTTGACATCATCGTCACGAATTGTTTTCGTGTTGTCATCTTTTTTATTCACTTCATCAGCGACGCACAAGAAAAAAAGGGCTGTTGAATGAAAGGAAGAAAAAATGCTCTTCAATTAAACTCTTGTCATCTGCAATTTTTGATAGAGTGCTTTCTTTTAGACTTTTAACTTCCCACTGCCAATCATTGCATAAGCCGTAAATTTGAACAAAAATTGGGCTAAGTGGCTTTCAGCTTTTTCTCTCGATCTAGACACATTGGCACCAAATAGGTATACAGTGAAAAGAAAAGGTTTAGTTTCAGAGTGTATCTGAGGTGAACTGAAAGAAAACCTCGAGTTTTATTAAAACAAAAAAAATGCTGGATTTTTTTTAAAACAATATATCTAGTCCTGGACCACTGCTTTGAGAGTTGTAAACAAAGTCAGTGATTTTGCAAATAAATTGAAAAATTACGGATAAGTTCCATTTATTGATCTACCCTTGTCGCATTAATGGAAATTTCAGTGCATCAAGCCCTGTGTTCAACTGACAGAAACTATTGTCCCACTGCAATCTCTTATTAATTTAAAATTAAAACCAACTTATTACAGAAACTTTAATAGAGGTTCCCCTGATAAATGCAACAAAAATAGTTTTGCTTAAAAATGGTTTCTTTGCGTGAGTTCCTACTTTAAATATCGATGACGTCTTTCTTGATAGTGGCATAATACTGGAACTGAAAACAGAAAGATCTTTGGGGGGAGGGAGGGAGGGAATAGCTGCAATCCTAGTGATGGCTGAAAAATTTTAATCATGACCATTTTCTCACTAATGGGGATTAAGCTATCTCGAAAAAGAATATTGCTTTACGGATCTAGATAGCTGAAATGACCGTGCGTCAAGCTATAGATTATCGCTACACTCCGCGATATTGCACACCGAGTCTGCGATATTTACAAGAAAATGTATCATTGATGTTATACTTAAACTCAACATGGTCAATAAGTGAGTGACTGTGTAGTGCTACTGAAATAACCAGGAAATGAAGTTAAATATAAACTTTAAAAAGGCTAAAAATGGGAATAATTCGTCCCAAACACTTTAAAGGATACCTCTACCAAGGACTGCATATATGAAACTTCACAACTTTTGCAATGCGTGATGCTGACGATTAAAAGAATTTTATGCAAGCTCGCCAAAAGTAAAAATTCCCACTTTAACACACATGGATACCGGATTGGAAATCATTTCAGAGACAACTACAAAAAGAAGAAAATCTGACTGCACGAGACATTAATTAATTCAAATATAGATTAGGGATACGTCGCTCCCTGGTCATTATCATGCACAAGTAGGTGCAGATAAATCCGCAAAAAGGAAAGGATGTAATGACTGTCGAAGAAGTAACTTCACTTTCGATTGCATCCACATCGTTCTATTTTCCTGTCGGCATTCTTTCCGTACGAAATATTCTTCATTGAACATAAAACAGCCCAGAGCACTGATTCCTTGTTGTGGCCGCATAGCAATTGAGCTCAGTTCTGGAAGTTCGTTAGGAGCGGTTCTGCTCAGAGGAAAGGAACTTCCCAGGTCAAAAAAGGGAAAATAAACCTTTTGGGATCGAGTAATCCCCGCATAGTTTGTACAACAGTAGTCGGAGCTTCAATTCATTCGCAAATCTGAGTTAATGCAATGTTCTTTAGCATGCAGTTATATTTTGAAAAGCTGTGCGTTTAAATCTTTAAATCTCTTCATTTGACCCTTAGTTGATTATGCATGACTTACCGCAACAGAAGAAAACTAAAACTTTGAAGGAACTGGAAGAGATCGCCATGGCTTGTTGACAGTTACAGTAAAATAAAGTTATTAGGACTGTTGCGCAGTTTTTATAGACTGGAACAAACCAATTAATTATGCCTTGACGTGTGCTTAGTATTTGATATTAGTCCATAAACGTTCCAGGCCTTGTTAGCATATTGTTTCGTGACTTATTTTTCACATGAAACTTTCATCAGTTTTAAGTGATAGCAATTCATATTTAATGGATATATTGTGGTGTTTTTACAATAGTTCTAAGGAAAAATATTTTCCGGCTATCCTAAAAACGAAAAGAAAAGATGCAACGAAACCCTTCGCTATTATTAGCTGATTTTTTTACGTTTTTGGTATCCAGTATTGCGTTGTTTGAATATATTTTGCGTGTTAGCTGTTTCGGATAAACACTAAATTTTGCTATGGTAACAAAAGTAATTGTTTACTCCTTTCTAATGGAGAAGTATATTGAACTACTGCAAGGGAAAATATTAACAAAACCAGGGTAAAAATTAAATTATACCGTGGTGGCCGTATACACAAAAAGGTTCCTTTATCTTTGCGTGACATATTTTTTGCGTTAGGGATAGAGCACAACTCGAATTTGCCCCATAAGAGTAATCTCTTTTATGAATTCGCCTGCTTCCCATGAAACTGCCGGGGTCGGAGTCTTGGTTAGTCTTTTCGTGGTTTTTAGCGAGTTCCCTATTTTTAAAGACGGCATTCTTCTTTTCCACAGCTGCAGTTTTTGTTGTCTGAGTACACAGATGACGTCACTCAAACCAGAAAAATAGCTACAATTACAATATAATCAAATACCTTCAGCCCTAGACTCTCAGAATAAGTACTTTTTTTGCCCGATCATTCTGTGGAAGGCTAAGCAACTCGAAAGAGAACTTGTGTCTCGGTTATATATTACTGGGTACAAGGCCAGCTGCATTTTTTCTACCTTATGAACAATTAGTTACATTTTGTTTTTTGGAAGCCTAGAAATATCTAAAGCTTTTAAAACAGGGACGTAGCTACTATGGGGTAAACCTACTCACGTACCTCGGCGAAAGGTCGGACCAGTTTTATTTTGTTTTTCCCGAAAAAATGGCTATTGCTAAGTGACTCATGATCATTAAAAATAAGTATGAAAGAAGTGTTTTGATATTGCCTGGGATGAATTTTTCAGCTGAGACCAGTCGATCCTAGTGAAAACCGACATTTTAAGCAACATAAAGTTTGTCAGTGGTTTTGATTATCAAAATAACTCATTCGAAGCTCATTTTTCTATTTAAGGAAACTGCCTTTCTAAAAAGTAGAAAGCCCATATTGTATAAGTATTGCATTTGATCAGTTCACAGTGGACATAAGATTAACAGACACGAAGTAGTCATTCGCTGACTAAATGGGCAATATCCTATCAAAATTTCCGTAGTTCTTTCGGCTAATACATGGCTTCCTCGATACACTCATTTTGGTCTTATCATGATGAGTTGACAACTGAACTGATAATTTGGCGAAATAGTAACAATTCAAATCAGTCCCGCCACTGGCTCCCACACGCACCACTAACTCCCAAGCACTTTGCTTGAGTAGTTCTTCTCATTCTTCAGGGCGATTCGTTCCCACATTCCTGTGCATTTTAGCAAAAAATATAAAGAACAGAAAATATCCACTGACGCCTTAATCTATATTTTCCTCTCTTTATTGCCAAAGGTGCATGTCATAGTTTAATAAGGAAGTTAGAAAATGAAACTTGTACCAGTTCGAGACAGCTGCATATCTTAGACAATAAGAGGCACGCACTTTTGATATTGTGTACCTTAAGAGTGAAATATTGTATTGTCGATGAAACATCGACGAGTAGTCACTAATTTTACAGCTTTAACTTCTTCTTTGGAATTTTTTTTTGGGGGAAGGTAGGTTATGGTTAAATTAGGCGTGTTCAATTTTATTTTCAGCGAATTATTTCATTTCAGAAGTATCACGCCTTATTTGGTAAACGCCGAAATTTTCCACCCTTCTTTTGATCGTTAAAGCTCGTTAAACTCTAAGAGCCCAATTACTATAACTCTAGAAAATTGTCAGGATAAATAAACAGTTTTAAAGCTACCCGTGGGAAAGTATAAGTATCATGACTTTGTCATAGTGCAAGATGACTGACTTATGCACGCTAGCGCTCCCAGAGACTTGTTGGTAGAAACAACAATGTTGCCAGAAAGGCGTGATGTTGAAAAGTAAGTCGACTCAAGAATCAGAGGTGAATGGCGTTATTGTATGTTACGTCTGTTACTTACAAACCAAATAGAAGGGAACCAATACGATTCTGTAAGGAGTTTAAGTGGCCGCTTGAATATTAAGAATTTCGGGAATTTTATAACAACACAGAAACAAAGTCATAATTTATCCAACAGGAAAGAAATTTAAAGCATTTAAGATTTTTTTGATTTCTTTCGAATGCCTGAAATGTTAAATTTATGAAGAGATTTAACCTCCACATGTTCTCCCTTCAGCAATTTTATTAGTATGGTGCATAAAAAGGATTTCTCTCCCTCTCTATATATAACAAGCTGCAAGATCAGACGATCCTTCTCCTTCAACCGATCACAAAGCTATTTGAAAACTTTCTAATCAAAAGTTCCTTTTCCGTGTAATTTAAACGCTTTCATATGTACGGCAATGTGGCCTTAGGTTTCTTGATTCCCAAAATCTAGAATAATAGCATAGTCTTCAATCCTTGTTAATCCATTTAATTATAGCCACATTTCTAAAAAAAAGAACACTGGTGTGATGCGTCGGTTTATGTCGTTGGCTGAAATAAGCCACACGCGAAGGGCTTAGTATTAAATGGCACTATGTATATATAGCTGGATGGAAGAATGCTACAATATGGCAACTAAACGATTAATATGTTTAAATCTGCGCAATGCCAAAAACCGTGATACCGCAAAGCCAATTCATGTATTAACATGACGCTTTTTAGACAATTATTTTTCCACACTGACTCCAAGTAATTCATGTTTCTCGGACTGACATCCTTGTTCGAATTTATAGTTAGTAAAACGCGATTCTAAGAAGCACAGCTGGAAGCGGATTAGTATTTAAGACGATAACGTATTTTTAATCCTCTTTTTAACTACTACTATTTAATGAAAAGTAAAAGTATAAGTTAAAAACACTTTTGCATTTGAGCATATCGTCAAATATTAGTCATATTACACTCTGGTCAACTAGTTCAAAAGTAAAAAATTCTGAACATTAGTCACTGTGGCTTATATTTCTTGGTGTTTTTCCATGATATATAATTATATTTTTCTCAATTCGATCCACAATAAAATATACTGGCTACTGGAACGATCGGCAATGTACTCGAAACCTTACAAACACGGAAAAGAGCTCAACAAAGACTCACAAAAGCGGATATTCTTTTTATTTTAACGTAACGATATACTGTACTTAATTTTTGCGCATATGTTTAATATCAATTTCTCGCGCGGAGGGTGGAATATGAATGAACGTACAGTCCTGCAACACTGTCATGATTAATCCTCTAATTGTTGTTGTTGTTGTTGTTGTTTTATGTAAATTATGTGTTATTGATGTTGAATTTCCCGTTATATTAATTATATTGACAAACTGTAACGTAAACAATGCAAATCTCCCAAGTAACATGCGATTTCTCTTTGTCATGACAACCACTGAATCACCAAGGGGAGCGTTTTCCTCTTTTGATTCAGTTCTTAAGACAAGTAACTTTTGTACTATTGCGGGCTTTTAGGTAAGTTACCCCAACGCTCCCTCCCCGGGGAACACTCAACAAAGTTTTACAGGGAAAGGTTCCTATCAAGGCCTTCAACCCTGGCCCTGTTAAAGCTTTGCTTTGACCTTGCTTCATTATCCTGGGTCATTTCGTGCGGCACTCAGAAAGAAGTGTTTAAAGATTAACCTAGCATTATCAAATTACACTCAACTCTCGCCTTACGGACACCCCGCGGTAACGGACTCCTCGATAACAACGGAAAGTAGCCAAGTCCCAGGCACAAATAAACATGTTACCAGCCAGGCGTTCAGATCGTGGAGACAGCGCAAAGAGATGCGAGCAAGAAAAAAAAAAACAACGAGGGGGCATTTGACTGAACTCCCTCTATTACAGAGTCTCGCTGATGAGGACACAAACTCAAGGTCCCTACAGTGTCCGTTATAAAGGGAGTTTTGATATCACACACTGCTAACGTTCACACCCTGATGAAGATTACCTGTCCAAAAATACACCCTTTTCAAGACGGGATAATGAACTTTGAAGTTTTGAACATATGAAAATCATATATTAGAACTTTGTGACACAGGACCCCGAAAATCATATCCTGTTTGGCGGCACATACCCGTTTAGGCCACTAAAGCTCATGTTCAACAGGAAAAAAAATGCTTATACCCCGGGGGGGCACTTGGGTATTTTTTGGGTGGGTATGTGCCGCCCGGGACTCCAAATTGGCACCCCGTTCTAAAACAAAATTCCGCTGAAATTGATACCCCGTTCTAGAAATGGGCCAATTTTTTATACCCCGTTCTAGAATTCGCCCTAAAACTGAAACCCCGTTCTAAAATGGGCCAATTTTTTATATTCCGTTCTAGAAAGTTTGTAAATTGAAATAGCCCTGTTTTTTTAAAAAGCTATTTCTTTATTTGTTCGACTTATACATCAAATAAATGCTTCTTCATAATCAGCAACAATTTTAAGCAGAGGATAAAGCCGTGATCCACAACTTTTTATACCCCGTTCTAGAAAACGCCTCTGAAATGGATACTCCGTTCTAAATCAGGAGCTTCAAAATCACGACCCCGTTGGGCGGCACATACCCGTATAGGTAATGTATTGGAGTACCCCCCGCCGGGGCTTATACAGACTGGGTACAGAACAGCGGTGTTCTGAGCCGACGAAAAATAGCGGTCAGCGGATTAATTTCAACATGGCGTCTGAAGAGAAGCATGCGGTTTATTCGATCTCTTTACAGGAAGCAAAGAGAAAATGCTCCGAAAAACATTCTTGTTTCGTGAGAGTTGAATCAATCGAACATGTTGGTCTTAGTCCACGATATCTCGGGCAACTAAAGAAAGGAGTGAACGAGGAGTTGACAAATAAACTGATGAGATATTCGGATGTTTTGGAAGGTGTCCCTGTTAGCTACGAGGGTTTTCGCATTCTGCAAAGAAGTGGCTCTATTCTTGATGAACTTCCCTTTATACACTTTGATGTTAAAGTTAATTTCATCGTCTTCAAGCCAAAGATCGGAAGGACACTTGTTGGAGTTGTAAACAAGATCGGTGTAGATCACGTGGGATGTTTGGTTCATAATTGTTTTAATGCTTCAATCTCGAAATCTAACTTCAGAAATGGACTTATTTATGACAGTTTGGATATTGGGTCTGACTTTATATTTAAGGTTATTGAAACTGAGGCCGTGAATGGCGTTTTGTCGATAACAGGAGAAGTTGAAGATCATCGAAAACATTCAAGGTAATTATTAGCCTTCGTCACAGGAGTGGTAACAGGTCGTTTCTCCCGAAGTTGTTTCCCCCCGGACTTAAGTCGATTCGCCCGATGTTTATTTGTCATTCTTAAATCCTGGAAAAAGAAATAAGCATGAAAAAACGGTGACCATACATGTGGATCAACAAAGATCAACAAAGCAATCATTGTGTTACCATCGTTGAGATACATTTAGACTTTAGTTTTATGTACAGTCTTTTAGTATCTTGAATGTAATTATCGAGATGGTAAAGGCCTTTCAGACTGCTGGACCTTTTTAGCAATCGTAGAAATAGTACATGTATCCAAACTTAACTAAAAATTATCTTTTCGTGTTGTAGAGTATTGTTTGGCGTCAGGTGAATCGACTTAAACCTGGGTGAAACAACTTCAGGTGAATCAACTTTCAGACAAAACGACCACAATTCGCAGGAGTAATTTAACTGTGGTTAGTAACCTCTGCCAAACAGTGCCAATATCCTTGTTCTGGGCCCTCAACGGACTCAATGAATTACCAGAAGTGCATTTCAAATTTCCTTTCATCTTGATTGGAAAATCGATAATGGCTTTTTTAACAAGGCAATCTTTGTGCATACTCAACTCCTGGTACACAGGTGGAGGCCCAGAAAACTAAGGATTTCTGCTCTAGTTCAGAGAGGGACTTGACCAGAGCTTATTTCTGTTTGTGACACAGGCTAGGTAATGATAAACAAAAAATTAGTTTAATCAAGTGAGTTTGATAAAGTAGATCTCTCACTGTAAAGATATTCCACAGCTGATGTTTCCAGCGCTACTGTCTATCAGTCTAATCAAGAGAATGCAAGTTGAGTTTGGATTACAAGTTGAATCATGGGGCAATGTAGGTGGGAACATCGTAAAATGAAAAACAAGACTAAATGTGAGTTCACTGATTGGAGTCGACATGACCAGCATGTCTGGCTCACAACCTGGTGGTTCCACATTCGATTCCCACTCTGGTTACTTGCTGGAATATATTGTTCTTGGTCATCCCAAGTTGAAAACTGTGAATAACCAATGGGTTGCCTCCTGCCAGTTGGGATTTTTAATCCCCAAAATTTTGTATTTGGATTGTTTGTTTCAAATTTATATTTTGTGTGGAGTGCCTGTAAACTCCTGACTAGTTAGATAAGATAAGTACACTTTCCACTATAAACAAACTGTAAGCAATTTTGTTCTATTCCCTGAGTACTAAAGATTGGTTAATTCCCCACAGAATCAAGAAATGCTTTTGGTTTAACTAATAGATTCTTGTTTTCCAAAGTACCACATCCTAGCTAAAAGTATAGAGGGGGATGAATCGGGGTATGCAAATCCGCCGATCCGTTATGATTTATTGACCAAATCCGCCATTAAAATTTCACCTTGAATCCAAAATCCGGGCAAAAATATTTTTATTACACGCAAACTCCAAAATCCGCGCCTAAAAAATCGATGAATCCACAATCCGCTGCAATTGCAGGATCCGGAAATCCAATAAAATCTCACTTTGAATCCGAAATCCGGGCAAAAGTATTTTCAAAATCCGCTGATCCGTTTGCCTTTTCACCCTCCTCAGTATAGCATGAATAATAATTTTGGTGTTTCACTTTGGTCACCTGTGGTTACACCACTTGACAGCTCACAGACTAGGTCCCAAGGGACTCTCACTTGTGGGAGACTACATCGTACATTGTAGTTGCTTAGCCGTGCATTCAAATGATAAATCATTTCTCTGTTTAGGAAAAGGAAACAGAAGAATCAAGAAGAGGACAGAACCAACACACCAGAAAGAACAAATGAAACACATTTAGAAAGGATGAATGGTATAAATGATCTTGATGAAAGTACACACTCAAAATCAACAAAAAAGAAGAAAAAGAAAAATAAAGTGGTGATTGATTTATCCTAAAGAGAGAAAGGAAGAGAGAAAAAAATAATTCCTTATAAAAGGAAATTCTTATGACATCAAGCAAGGAAATCTGTCTTGCCATAAGTGTAACAGGCAGAGATAAGATCACTTTTCTTATCTTTCACCAAAGTTTCTGTTGTAAGGAATCGTTGAGAATATTTTAAGATGCGCTTTTAATTATATTGCTTTTCTCGTTCAAGAGAAATGTGGTACAATAATTTAATAATATTTTTATTTATTGAATTTCTTACCGCTTTTTAGTGCAGAATTATGTCAAATGAATTCTGAAGCACTTTAATCCCATTTAGTCTCCCAATCAACCATTCCTCAATATATGTATTGCTATTCCCCAAAGACCAACGCGAGACAAAGAGTGATAATTTTATGCTAGAAAAATTGGGGCACATAAAAGACAACAATGAAAAAAAAAGAGTTTTCTGTAAAAAGGACAAAATGTTGACTCTTTCCAGTCGTTTTCTAGGTGAGTTTAGCATAAATGTGTCCTAGTTTACAGCATCCCATTCTTATGCTAGGCACATTAATGTCTGAGACTTTTAAGTAGTCTGTTAAGTGTGTCATTCAGACACTCATAGCAGTCATCAGACATTAAATGCGCCTGTCTTATTTGCCCTTTTTATACTAGACGTTTAATACACTTTTAACGTCTCAGATGACTTTAACGTCTGTAGCATAAAAACAGCCAATGGCTGTATAGGAGACTTAAGGTTCCCAGAAGCATAATTTTCCTGGAATTCAGTCATTTTTCTTTTAGATGAAGTTAATGTATCCAATGCACCCCATCCCACTTCAAATAGCCTGCGTAGCAAGCGTTTGTGCGCAAGTTTGGTGACAAAATAAGTTGAGACGAGAGCAAAGAAAAGGAATGACAGGGTGGGGAGAGGGGAGAGAAGGAAACAGCGTTTCCTCTTTTCCCCTCCCCTTTCCCCTTCCATTTTGTTTTTTTGCTCCTGCTCTAACTTTTGCACAATAACTCAATTGGAAATGCTTGCTACGCAGGCTACTCTACCAAAAATGGAACCCTCCTGTATTATTGGGCATGTACTGTACATTGGAGAGTGGAAGAGGAGGGGTGGGCTGGGGACTACTCTCTGGCCAAAACAAAGTAGGTTGTTGGCTCGAATTTGTGGGCCCAAGTCTTTTCAAGATCAACCCTTGTTGTGTAAAACTTCCCAAAGGATGATTGATATCATTATTTTTTAGTTCCCAGGAAGATCTTTTTGCTAAGAGCACTTTTTTTCCTGCTAACATTTTCACACAAAAATGGGGAACAGATCCAGTGGCACATCACCATTACCCTCCGAAAGAAGTACTCCCCCGGAAAGAAAACCCCTCTTGAAAAGGAGAAGGTTTCTATATTATGCACGCACCCATTTTTTTGTGATAGTTATTTACTTCTACTGCCCCCCGCTGCCTTTCCCGCCATGAGCTGCAAGAAACATTGTATACAATAACAAACTTTTCCTTTTATCAACTCTGATTTTAAGACCTGCGTTAAAAAATAATTTAAAAAAACTGTAGTCAACCGCGTTCTTCTCTAAGCGGCGAGACATGCCCCCACCCTAGCTAGTTTCTACTCCTCCCTGGCCAGAGTCAGTCCAGCCAGTGTCCAGTCCGTCTCTGACAACATCGTTGCAGTTATGGCGGGTGTTCAGGGAGATCAACACATCATCGTCTTTATTATGGTTCTCACGGATTGTACACACAGTTGTTATTGGAGGATTGATTAGAAACAATGGCTTATAGATTCCACCGCACGTTGCTGCTTCGTCCGCCATTAAGACTCGTCAAAAATTCGAGATCTACGCAAAAATTAAGCAGAAGCTTTTGCACGTGCACAGTGAAGGAAGATCTCTTTGAACCGGTACAATGTAGACCAAGTCCGAGAGATTGCCTCCCTATCAAAAGAAGCTTCGTACTTACCGCTAGGAGAGGCCATCAGACTCTGTCAAGTGATTTCGGTGCACATTTGCCGAGTGTAAAGCAAATGGAAAATTTCTTGTCAGCTCGTAAAATTTTGTTCGAACACGGACACACTTCACTGATTGCTTGTTGTCCATTTTGCACGGAAGGTGGCGTTACTAGTGAAAAGACTAAAGCGTTTACCTTGTACATAAATAAGACTACTGGAAGCCATTTTTGTAAGAACTGTAACGCATCTGGAACGTGGCAGAAATTTAAGGTATTTCTCTCAACTTTTGATTTCATCAGAGGGGAGCTAAGGGGAGGGGATGGGAAGGGGTGTACTTGATAACTGAAATTTCAGGGGTACCTGAAACATTACATCCAACTTGCTGTTAAGTTCCTGAATTTTCAAAGAAGAATAGATATAAAGTTTACTTTTACAGGAGAGCTTTTACACTCCCTACCTGATAAGTACTGTAAATCCTCTATTAAGCCCCCCTGAGGACCTATTTCAAGCACATTTGAGGGTGGGGGGAGCTTAACAGAGATGGAGTGCTTTTTTCTTAATGATGATAGCGAAAGTGATGATTATCCATGAAGAACTAGAATGTAAAGTGGAAAATCTCAGGTACTTGAAGTTAGGGGTCTTGCAACCAAAGATCAAGAACAGATTCAAAATTCCAGCAAGTGAATAACCCATACCGGACCAGTCCACATAAAGTGATACAGTTGTGAAAAATGAATGAAGTCTATTTTTTAAGTATATGGGGAGCAGGGTAGTTTGCTACACAGCTATTTCTAGTGTCGTCTTGCAACGCTCCTCCCCATAAACAACTGCTGAGAATCGATCCTAAAAAACAACACTAAAAACAGCTGTGACTAGGGGCAGGGGAGAGGGGTGTAAAAGAGATGGGGGTACTTTATCACTTTCTTTCCCTGAAATGGGGGTGGGAGCTCAGTTCATGGGGTGGGGAGCTTAATACAGGATTAACAGTACTAGTGAATCCACAGGGAGACCATCTGAACTGTTGGAGGTATAGTTTTTGTCACATGCAGTCTGTGATCTGTAATCTCATACTGGCTGCTCTCAGCCTTTTGGTCACAAATGATATCAGAAGAAGTGCAACCATATGAAAAAGTGATGCTTGCTGCAGTTACTCCTCTTATATTATGATTGTAAACGTCCTTTTAGTTTGACCTTAGTTTGCATTTACACTGTATTCCTTACATGCATGTACACTGCACATCTATAGATGTCTTGCCAGGAGAAACATAACCAAGAATCCAGTAGGCCTGTTTTACAGGACAATTTGACTGATAGTGATGCTGATCAAACAAGTCAGATATGGGACAACTCTACTCCAATATCAATGTCCTCTGATGTTTTGTTGGAAAAACTTAGGGCACAATTTCCAATCAAGGTGATTTTTTCAATAATGATAATTAATAAGAGTAGGTAAATTTAGCAATGCTAGACCAAAGTGACTGGAGAGGGAGAATCCATGTTGTCCGAGCTAGCGCTAGACCAAACTAACTCAGCAATGTTTTTTTAATGGAAATTGTAGGCTGGACTTGTTCATCCTTTGTGTCAGGTTGCTGTGATAAAAATAGATGGAAGCTATGTTAACCCTTTCTGTTGCAAGATCTAAAGGTTCAACATTGGGCAATCAAGATCCTGAATTTCCTACATCTTTCTAGCAAGGTCTTGAAATTTGTTGGATTTAAGATCAGAAGTTTGCACAGTCAATTGGTTTTCTTATCCGGGGTATTCACTCCTGCATGATGACATCACATAAAACACGCGTAGATTTCAAGGAAAAGTTCCAGCAGTGTAAGCAGATTTTAAACGAGGTGAGTGTTTAGTGATTGCTTTTTTTATTTTCTAGATGTCTTTATTTTCTTGTGGAAGTATTCATCAAATACTCGATCCAGAGCGTTATAGTAATGAATTTCAAGAAAGACGAGAGATTTATATGTGTGTGACTGCTCTATTTGCTGAGTCACGAAAAAATGGAGGTGCAGAGATGTTGATCTAATCCTCTTTTATGGACATGGTTTATTTTCTCTGTGCATTCAGCAGTAGTGAAGTGCTAGGCAAAAATACCTGCCAACTCTAGCTTGCTGGTCTCAGGAGAAAACAGAGGAATATAGGTGTGGAGCAAACCAGCTTTGTGTCTAAAGCAAATTCGGTATCACCTTCAAATCAAGTATTCTTCACCCGTTGAGGCATTAAATTTGATCATCAAAATCTCTGCCCTTTGAGGTAAATAATTCAGCTGATAATTTGACCATAATTTTATAGTCACATTTGTCTGTTGAAGCGAAAGAAAGCTTGGAACTGTGGATTCAAAATGTGTATTGCTCTTTGAAGTTAACCCCTGGCTAATTAACGACCATTCAATTGTAAAATTCAAATTTGACTGTCGCATTGGAAAGCACCTGATTGACCTTGAATATTCCTGAAAATGTATCAGTATTGCCAAAAGGCGCTTCCTGAGTTGTGACAAACAAATGCTTAATTATGACATTTAAATACAGTGTAGAGCCAACAATTAAGTTTCATCAATGTGAATGATACTTGTTATCCATCTGTCAATATCTTTGCATCTTCATTCATGAATTAGCAAAAATTGTTAACATTGAAAAGCATCCAAACACCTAAAAATCTCTTGTCTCTTGTCATCACTTAACTGTTTGTGACCTTGATGAATACTTCCATAGGCAAATAAAAAAAATCTAGAAAATACCAAACAAGCATTACTAAAAACTCAGGTCTCATATCATCTGCTTGCACTCTGGAAACTTATTTGAGGGACTTTATCCTTTTATACATCACAAATACACAAAAATAACAAATTTTTTGGAAAGACAGGCTTAACACCCACCCTAATTCCCAGGAGTCACTTTCATTTTCTTATGCACTTTATTTATTTTCAAACTATTCTCCCTATTTTCCTCCAACTCTGATGCCAGCACTTACTTTCAAATTAAAACTCCTAGTTTATAAGATATTTAACTTTTTTTTCTCTGAAGGAGCTAAGACAAGAGATATTGGAAAAGTTTCAAATAAGATTCAC